CGTTCAGAGTACGGACCCCCAGCCAATTATGCTGTGGCTGAGAGACCAGATTTGTTTAAACCTTTTTATGATACCCATTTTTTATACATGTACATGTTTTTACGTTCAGAGTACGGACCCCCAGCCAATTATGCTGTGGCTGAGAGACCAGATTTGTTTATACCTTTTTATGATACCCATTTTTTTATACATGTACATGTTTTTACGTTCAGAGTACGGACCCCCAGCCAATTATGCTGTGGCTGAGAGACCAGATTTTTATACCTTTTAATGATACCCGTTTTTTATACATGTTTTTACTATGAGAGTACGGACCCCAGCCATCATGTGGCTGAGAGACCAGATTTTTTTATACCTTTTCATGATACCGATCCTTAAGAGTACAGACCCCCAGCCAATTATACTGTGGCTGAGAGACCAGATTTTTTTTATACCTTTTTATGATACCCATTTTTTTTATACATGTTTCTACGTTGAGAGTAGTGGACCCCCAGCCAATTATACTGTGGCTGAGAGACCAGATTTTTTTTTTACTTTTTATGATACCCATTTTTATACCCATTTTTTTTTTGACACTAGCTATTTTAAATATTTAAAAAACATTCTTTGACATATTTAACAGGATTTTCCCTGCTTTTTGAAGCCGTCAACCTGAGGCTGAGAGACCAGATACATTTTAATACCCTTTTATGATTGGCCATTTCATACACATTTTTAAAAAAAAAATTTTTGCATATCTATAAAAACCTTTGACAATTGTTCAATAGGATTTCTCCGATAGAATTACCATTTTTTCCACTCGTACTAGAAACTGTCGACTAGAAACAATTTTTATACCCATCTTTTATACTCATTTTTATACATAATTTTTATACCCATTTTTATACACCCATTCTTTATACCATTTTTGATACACATTTCATACACAGTCTTATACAAATTTTTTGAAACTCATTATTTTACATATTTAAAAAACCTTCTTTGACATGTTTACAGTTTAACTATTGTTTGCGATTTTTTCCACTCCTTTTTTTGCATTTAATACCGATTATGCATTTAATACCCATTATGCATTTAACATATATCACCGAGCGACCAAAATCATTTTTATATCCAATTTTTTACCAATTTTCATACAAATTTTGTATACACATTTTTTTTAAACATACACCCTTTTATATATTTATAAATAAACCTGTTTGACATGCACAAAATACATGTATTAATAATCAGAACGCGGCGGGAGAGTTTGTCAATAAACAATAAAAAAAAAATTAAACAAAAAACGCCAAAGTATGTTATGTCGCGCAAAGTATGTTATGTCACGCGGCTGGTCAGACTGGCCAATCGAGATCGTCAAATTAAACATCAACCATATTTCATCAACACGATAACTAGCAAGTCATGTGGGGCGGGGTAATAAAACGGCCAGGTGTCTCAATTATCAGGAGCAATTATGTATACAAATCATCAAAATAAAAATAAACAGTCATATAACAAAGGCATTCAATACGATAGGCTAATGAAAAAATCAAATGACACAATAAAGTACAATAAAAATATCAACACACCTGCACGCCATTTCTTCAATCTTCGCCGTGCAACTCTCCCTCTTAAACAGGCTTCTTCTTCTACTTCTTCTTCCAGTTCTGTACATACCTGAAAAAATCAAATGACGCAATATTAACACACCTGCAAAATTAATTTTCCATCTTCGCCGTGCGACGTTCCCTCCTAAACTGATCTTTTCTGTGCTCAATTGAACACGTGACCTATAATGTGTGAAGCGGGAAAAATGTTCGGGGGTTTTCGCCGTACTTCGGTCAACTCTGACCTTTTCATTTAAAATAAATATGGCGGGGTAAAATTCCAATCGCAACTTTTCGGCCCTTTCCGTCTGTTTTCGGATAAGGACCTCGGACACGTATGAATACATAGGACGGCTACGGCATTTCGGTCTAACCTACGCTAAGAAACTAAACATGTAAACAAATAGTAATATACATTCATTAAGTTCTTTTACTTTCTAGTTAAATTTCAGATACTTAAGTTCTGTTTAACCGTGCCTTCTCCTACACAAATTATTTTATGCTGCATTAATGAGTTAAACTTTTTGTATGTCTCGATACTCATGCGCAACACACAAGAAACATTTACAAAATTGTCGCCCTTGCACATATTGAGAATAGCGTCTAGTTAGCGAAAAAAAGACGTTAGCTCTGTGGTTTTCAATACGCTATACATTACCTACAAAGACAGCTGCTTTTTAACAGCAGAATATTAAAAAATATTTGATTCAGATTTCAGCTATTTAAAAACGAAGACGGAAATGTTGTCTTTAAATTGTAGAAAAGGTATATACGAAATATTTGTTTAAAAAAAAAAGAAACAAAGATGTTTGAGAGTATTATAGTGGACATGTAGCTCTATTTAATGCAACAGGCTTACCGAAATCGATTTTCAAATTAATGTTTTACTCCGTTTATGTATCTTAATTAATTTCAACGAATCAAGTAATATCTTTCTGCAAAGTAATTTTCTAAAAATGAAAATCAATTTTCTTCTAATCTCAGAATTGTTATACCAGTCAGAGATTGTCAGGACAACAGTGAAATCTTTTGTCATTTCAACACAGTGATGGCGTTGGAGACGGTCATGACAAAGATGTTAATAAATCAGATGTTGATGCTGATCAAGGAACGGAAGTTGATGCTTCGTATCACGGCATTGTAACCTACTAGTATGTCAGCTTTCTAGAAAAACAGAAAGCTGGAGCGTCGGGCCGAAGAGGAAAGGGAAATTAATTGTAAAGAAATCCGTAATCTTGAGTCGATGAAGGAAACATGGCACGTAAGGTAGATAACTTGTTAAGTTAATTAAAAAGCTAGAAAGCATGTGGTGAAACGAACCCATTCATATTACGAGTTTTGCAACAGTGTAGACGCTTTCCTTAGACATGTAGAAAACCCGAAAGTTTACATCAAATATTCCGAAAGGGGAGATGGTGTGCAACGCGAGGTGTTTTACAGTTTTGGTGTAAGACCAGCAAATATTAAATGTAAAAGCCGGAAACATGCCATTATTGGATATGGCTTACATGTTTCCAGCAGAAGTCACCTGCAAGAATATATTCAAACAATATCTTTAGCACATGATGATATGCTACGCCAAAAAAGCAAACGACAATTTTCGCCCTATTTCAACTGCTAGCAATGCATTGACATGTCCAGATCCGAAACCATTTGAATGTGTTAAATTTAAGCCGGAGTTGTGATATATAGTTTCAAAAGACATGTCAATGATCATAAAAGAGAGACATCTGCATGTAAGATATTCAAGAGCCACTATGCACGTGCATTCACGAACGCTAACATTGTCTCTGACATTTAAAGGAATACACCCTTTCATGCACTGGATAGACTTAATCTATAAATTTTATATTTGCGTGCCTGTCAAATGTTCAAACAATAATGTTAACTTACCTGCAGAAAAGTTTTCAAACTGCACAAATCCATCATGGAGAAATACAAAAAAAACAATTGTTATGGATACCGTTTACTTCCGGTATACTGTCTGTTGACATTGAAAGATTCATTTGGCATTATTCCACATTAAACCTTTGTATAACAAGTACGCGATTAAGTTTTTGCTTTCAGCATAGACAGAAGACGTATCTCTTTTGGATACTTAAAACCCAAGCAAAAACATTTGCTCACTACAAACGAGAAACCATCAAGCAGATCGCCTTATCCAGTTGGTGAATTTTCACGGTTCTCAAAACCAAGCCTTGAAGACGAGCACGCGACAACCTATATGCCAGCAGTAGCAGACGATCAAAATAATTGCAGACGACAGGCAAACAACGGGATATGAAAGAATCATTGACGGATCCTTTTGGAATGATGTCTGCTTACTGTAACAGCGAGATTCATTCTAGTTTTTTTTTAAATTTCTAAAATATAATTCATTCACGGAGCTAGACTATTTTTAAATACAGCTAATTTTAATATGTTGTATACAGTCAATAAAAGTATTACATAACTCATTTTAGATACAATTTATGTGTTTTTTATTACGTACGGCGACATTGTATTTTCCCTCCGACATGTACATGTACTATTCCATTTTTTACAGGTATGACATCTCTCTAGCAGACGACACGTAAAATTGGAAACAATATGGCATTTTTTCATAGCTTATTGTAATAGTTTTTATTTGTTTGGGTCGTCAGACCAAACAAATAATGGTAGCGAAATTTCAGAGTCTGATGCAGTTAATTGCAAATGCCGAAAGAAGGCCGCTTTTTTGAAACGGTTACTTCCCTTTATATGTACAGGGGAGATCACTGCGTAAAGATGGTCAAATGACAGTCGCATTAATTTTCAAGCAAAATAATTCCCGAATGGTCGAAAATTTCTAATATTGTTTTATCCTTTATAGATATACATGCTTATAATAAGCTGCATGATTATTAACATCTGTGTTAAACAACAGTTAGCGTCGAAATAATAAGGGTTACAACCCCTAATTTAGAATAATATGGTTTTCTTCAGGCCTTTTACATATAACTTCACCGTGGCCGAGGGGTCTGGAGTTCAAATCCAGGAAGGCAACTCTTTTTTTTTTAAATTGTTTAAGTCAAATAAACATTGAATTGAATATCAGTGTTGCAATTAGTCTTAAAGCCAATTAACTACAATTAAAACGCTGGGAAGCACTGGTGGCACTATACAAAAACAAATTGGTTTATAATCTCACAGCCTTCACCTTTCTGACATTCTGAGACCCAAACAAATTCAGCGCCTTCTGTGCTTTGATTTTTATTTTCTTTGAAGTTGTATTATCTGTCTATGTTTAACAAAACAAAAAAATTGATTTTGTTTGTTATAATTAAGTGTTAAGTTGTCGGTGTTAATATTTACAAACATCATTTATAAGCTGCATTGTGTCTGACGATATTTGAGAGACCGGTGTGTATACAATGTTATAAGCTGCTCTAACTGTTTTAGCGGTGTTCAGCCTCAATTCGTTCGAATTGATTTTAGTACGAATAGCCTTGTAAACAAAACTGACAACACGTGTGTAATATTTTAACATTTAACATTTTTTGTGGAACATGTCTTTGTAAAGTAAAACGCAATTTAAAGGCATGGTATTAAACGTTTGTAATATAAAACTCCTCTCATTACATAAAAGTTTGAAGCTTTAAAACAGCAAATGTCAATTTATCAGTTGTTTATTCATTTACTGTGGTATGTTTCGGATAAGAAATATTTTTTGGATATAACCATCAAATTCCTTGTCGGACGCGTGAATGACATGGGATACGGGAATATCGGATTATAATTAAATGCATTTTATGTCTGAGCATGTAAATGAAGCTAATACCGCTGTGTCAGTTTTGCTTTATGGTTGATAATTCGCCATACAGACGATTCGCCCCATAACAATTCGCCCATTTTTCTTGTGTTTAATCGATTGTTTCCGCATTATGTAAATGCATTATTCAACAAGTTCTGTAACAGTTGTAAACTGGATAAAATAAAATTTACCAAAAAGCTGTAAATGAGAATTTTCACTGAAATTTGAAAATTTGATTGAAAGGATGGCTTTGTGAAATGTCATTTAATTGTTTTTGATGTCAGCTCTTTCCATTTTGTGTCGCCTCTACAGAGTATTGGCGACATATAGGGATCACTTCTCTGTCGTATTCTGTCTGTACAAACAAACATATAGATACTTAGGGGGTTATGGGAGAATTAGGTAATTAATTCATTAAGCTCTGATGTGGCTACTTTTTTGTTTACCTGGCTTAAAGAATAAAAGGGAGAACAAAAGAGTAATCACATTAATACGAAACTTTGAGCTCATCCCCCCGTCTGTTCGTAACACCTTTGTGTCCGCTCCATAACTTCTAAACTGCTGAAAAATTTTTGAAATAACTTGGCACAAGTGATAGCTTTATGAGAAGATGTGCAGAGCGAATAATTGGATTGCTATCCCCAAGGTCAAGGTCACAATTAAAGGTCAAGTGTTAAAAAGTGTACATTTAATGTCTATTCCATAACTTTAAACCACTAAATAACTTGGCACAAGTGATCACCATTATATGATGATGTGAAGATCGAGGGCAATGATTGGGTTGCTACCCCCAAGGTCAAGGTCACACTTAAAGGTCAAGTGTTAAAAAGTCTACATTTTGTGTCTGCTCCTAACTTTAAATTGCTGAAATTTTTTTGAAATAACTTGGCACAAGTGATGACCATTATAAGACTATGTGCAGAGTGCAATAATTGGGTTGCTTCCCAGAAGGTGAAGGTCACACTTTAAGGTCAATGGCTAAAATGTCTACATTTCGTGTCCACTCCACAACTTTTAAATGCTGTAAAAAATTGAAATTAACTTGGCACAAGTGATCATCAAAATGGGACAATGTGCAGAGAGTAATAACTGGGTTGCTACCCCATAGGTCAAGGTCACACTTAAAGTTCAATTGTTAAAAAATCTACATTTCATATCTGCTTCATAACTTTTAAACCACTGAATATGTTTTTTAAATAACTTGGCACATGTGATCACCATCATGAGACAATGAGTAGAGGGCAATAATTGGGTTGCTACCCCCAAGGTCAAGTTTACACTAAAAGGGCCATTGCTAAAAAGTTTACATTTCATGTTCACTTTATAACTTTTAAACTGTTGATAAAATTTTGAAATTACTTGGCACAAGTGATCACCATTATGAACAATGTGCAATAATTTGGTTGCTACTCCATAGGTCAAGGTCACACTTAAAGGTCAATTGTTAAAAATTCTACATTTCATGTCCGCTTCATAACTTTTAAGCTGCTAAAGAAATTTGAAATAACTTGGCAGAAATGATCACCATAATGACATGATGTGCACAACCCAACATCCAGGTTGGCACAAGTAACTACTATGATGAGACTATATGCTTATGATATACATAGCACAACATCAAGGTCATGGTCTGTTAAATGTGAAGAAGTACACATTCATGTCTACTGCGGAAGGGGACTTAGCTGTCCTTCAGACTGCCTTGTTCATATAATAACATTAACTTGTGTGTATTGCGTATATAGGAACTAATTGAACACAATAAGCATTTCTTGAATAGATTGTTTTATTTTGCATTGCAAGTATATTTGATAAATATATTTTATAGACAGAGATGACTTCTCTTGCAAAACAACTTCAGCGTCTAGCTGTTCCTCACACACAGACTATACTTGGTGAAGATAAAAAGAAAGCCTCATTACTGTTTGATCCAAAAGAGGCAGCGTCTATTGACAGAGAGACATTTTATGCATTAGGTAAGACTGTTAAGGACATTTGTCTATGAGTTAAATAAGGCATCCTTAAAACAACTTATTACAGCTCATTGTAGCTAGTTTGTGATGAAAACTTGAAGTTTTTTTACCACTCAGGTCTGTTTTTTTTTTAACTAACTAGTATATAGACACCTTAATATAGAAAAATGTCATTGTGGACTAAGTGGATGTTTAGTTCCTTTTACAATTATTTATTTTTGTACAGGTTTAAATGGTTTGGAGGAGTTGGAAACTATTGATGAGGACTTCAGTGAATTTGAGACCAGTCTATTTGGAGACTCCTCCTTGATGTTTGAGAGATCTGTGCAGACAAAGGAGATTAATGCAAAACTAGACAAGACCATACAAAAGTTTCTGATACATGTGTCACCTTATTGTCTCCTTAAACCTGCACATAAAGCTATTGAATGGCTAATTCACAGGTAATTCAATAGTTTAACTAGCACAATTTATTTAATGCTCTGTCTCAACTGTGTCATTGGAACTAGCTTTTGTTATTAGTTTAATACAATACAGTACAATACAATACAGTTCAATACAATACAGTGCAATACAATACAATACTCTTTATTGGTCAGTCAGGTTACAGGCATGGTAACAACATGACAATTTATCTAAAATATGTTAACCTTTTCCCTTATAGAAGCGAGAATCGCCGTCTTTTACCATTCCCTGATAGAAGCGAGAATCGACGGCTTTATCGATTACCGCATGTAAGCGAGAATCGCCGACATGCATGATCTCAATGGAAGCGACTTTCGCCGACTTCAATATTTACCTGTCCAAAAATCAACAATTTTCCTGGAAAATAGACCTGTAAATTGTGTTATCGTAAAGATCAACATTTCATGAGGGGATTCCGTGCATAAAATTATCGTGTTACTATTTAAAGTTTTTGTATAATTAGCGACCAACCAGGTGAGGGGTTTTCCTTACGTCACGCAGTTAATGAGTGCGCGGGTCAATGAAATAAATATAGAACGTATCGTAAGACAGGAACAAAAGTGTCTAAAAATAGCATCTAATGAATAAATAGTATTTATATGATCACGGGTCGTTCACGTGCCAGGCATGGTATAATGGATTTGATGTTTGTTTTTGTTTATGACAGCTGACATGTGTATATACACGGATTAATTAACGTCCTGACTAGGGGTATCTCTCTGGCCCCTGCAATAAAATATTTCCGGTAGCAGCGGCGATTTTTTTAAGAAAAATGACCGACAAAGAAATGTTTAATAGTTTAAATTCTTTCATGTGCGCTATTGTTTTCATAACAGACACAGCATGGGCCGTGTATTATACGACATGATAAAATCATATCCCATATATCATCTTTGATGTCGGCAACATGAAAATGCCGAAAAGGCCGTGGAACTCGAGGATGTCTTGCCTTTATCATCATTTGATCTAAATTAGATCTATAAATGATAAAATTTAATTAAATTCATAATTCATGAAGAAAATATATGACCATGACAGCAGAAATTCTGAAATATTTAATTCAACAGTTATATACATGTATTACAGAAATGACAGTTACTATTATGAAATAAATTATAAAAAAAACTGATAAAATACATAAAAAAAAACAAAGTGAGATTTCTTTTTACTGGTATAAAAAAAAAGGTAAAAAAAGAACTTGTTGTTATTTATTTCACCAAAAATGAATGCTGCATAAACCAAAAAAAATAATAATAAATTAGCCATATTTCCCTAATGAGAGAAAAATTATACATCATTTTATTGTTTATAACTACTGTAATTATACTGTTATAAAGCCCACAAATATAAAATTTATACCACTGGAAAGATAATTTAAATCTCTACAAATCTTACATTGACATATATATTGTCAAACTTGTAATTAAACCATTTCACATTAGTTAAAACACATAAGTAGCCTAATTTATCTGAAACAATGGAGAAAAAAAGCACCATCAAGTATATAGTTTATTACTTTATAACTCATGTAGACATATTTGTATAAACCCAACAAATATGATATTTATACCATTGGAAAGGTATTTCAATTCTCTACAAACTTTTTATTGATACAAAAATTGTCAAAACACAACTTAATACTTTATTTTTCAGTTAAAGTATATAGGTATCTAATTTGACCAATTTTACCTATAATTTATCATACCCTATATGGAGATAGTGTGTGACTCCTTATCAGTAGGATATTGATTATTGATTATCTATCTGGCTACTGTATTATGGGGTGTAAAGCAGTAAATTAAGGGGGCTGTATCAGGGAAAAGGTTAAATCGTATATTATTTAGCTATTTATTAATATAAGGTAAATGAGCATAATGCCACGGGGACAGAATAATGAATACATTTAACAACAATGTTCATGTTATTCATCAAATGGATAAACAAAACAAAACAAAAACAATATTGACAAAGAAACAGACAGCAGAATGATGCAGTACATGTTGGTCGTCAAAAATGAATATTTCAATTAAAAAACTCTAGTAAATAATTACAACAAGTATGAAAACAACAGTTACTTATGTGAAAGATTAGAATTCGAAAAAATTTGCTTTAATCACATGTTGAAAATTGTATAAAAGGGGGATAATAATTTAGAAACATATTTATCAATCAGTATATTTTATAAAGCTATCAAATAAAATGAAAATGATCTATCTATTATCTATTCAAAATATGGTATTATGCTCAAAATCAATTTATGTTATATGAAATAATGAAAAATAATATGAATACATTACGAATAATGTAGTATATAAATGTAACAATCAAAATTATGCGTGAATAAAGGGAGGTAATTAAATACTTATATCATCGACATAAATAATGTATTTGTATAGATTTAAATAAATTAATAACATTTTTAGATACAGTGAATGACTACTAAAATGGAACAGTCTTTTTATGCCGATATGTACTAAAAAAAATATTGACGAGTTTGTAAAAAAGTTGCAAGTATATTTAGATCTACTTGAAAACTGAAGTTAAAATTTGTAAGCACTTTTGCATTCAAACCCTTCGGGTAAAATGTTTTTCTAACTTATGTATTCCAGTATGTCTCTTTCAAAAGTCTCCCCATATTATCATGAAGTTTATCAATCAAATAGCATAAAAGGAAAAAAGTCATTCAAGTGAGTGATCTTCGGGCATTGAAATGAATTGCAACATTAGAAGAAAAATTGGGATGATTATTACTTCTTATATCAAATTTATGGCTGTTCATTCTTTTTGATACCTGTTGATGGGTTTGGCCGACATACTGTAATTTTACATTTTTTACAAGTAATTAAAATAAATCACGTCACTAGAAGTACAATTTCCATCAAAATGCATTTTCGAATGTTTCTCCAGTATTTGTACTTGTGAAAATTACTATTTTCTCAATATTTTTAACAGTGAGTGCATCTTTTTCTATTACACTTATTAGTTTAAACCGTTCATATTCCGTTTATTTAGAGTTGAATGGGTAAGGGAATCTTGAAGATTTTTGGGACGGCTGTATGCTAAGATTGGTTTATGATTATGTAAATTTTTAACACTGTCATTTTCTGATAACATTAAAAGATCCCAGTATTTATTTATTATAAGACCAAGATGGGGAAGAGACGGATTATATGGGATAACAAATGGTATGATTTTTTGCTGCTCTGTTATATTTTGGTTATTTTCCAGAGCTTCTTCTTGGGTTGAATCAGGGGTTTTTTTTTACTAACAAATTGACACCGATAGTCGGCGTCTTCCCCTCGGTAAATAGCCAAGTTTTTTCCCCCAAAAAATTCTATTTTCCTTTAAACTGGATCAGATTTAATAATTACATGGTTTAAAATATTATTTTTCTTCATTTTATGCAGGATAAACCACCAAATTGTTGTTCAAAATAACCAAAAAACATTGCAGGAAACTGCAAGTACTGTCTCAACATGGAGGCAGCCATTTTTTTTTTTGGCTATATCCGTACTGAACGGTACTATTTCTGGAAATCAGTTGCTATCAAAATATTGTCATTTTCTTGGTTATTTTTAGTAAAGTAATATATTTTGTACTTCTTATTATGAAAATGACTTATATGGAGCTAAAGTGTGTCACAGATACACTATTATACCTATACTGTATTAACTTTCATACAAAAATAGAAGTATAAAAACCATTCACCACCATACATATTAAGAAAATATGTTATACTGCAAAGAATATTTTGCATGATATAAAGTTTTTAAGTGGAAAAAGATATAGTTGTAACTCTCTACTATGTAGTTAAGTATATAGTATAAATAACGTCATAATAAAGTTTCCCCAAATTGACTTTTTTCGTATATTTTTTCCCCTCCCTACCAGCGTCCAGCGTCTTCCCCTTTTCCTAAAAAAAACCCCTGGTTGAATATTTTACTTTTGCAAAAGCAGATTTCAGCTTGCTATCAGGATAATTTCTGATCTTGAAAAAAGATTCTAAATTTATTAGACATTCATGAAATTTATCATTGTCTGAAATGATACGTCTGTAACGTTTAGCTTGGCTGTATGGTATACCCTCTTTACATTTATTAGGATGGCATGAGTTATACTCCAGATATTGATGGACATCTGTAGGTTTTATATGAATTTCCGTTGATAAAGTGCAATTTTCATTTTTAAGAATCTTAACATCAAGAAATGACACATTTTCTTTCGATATATTATATGTAAATTTTAATTGTTGGGTGACATGTATTTAATTTGTTTATGAAATCATGTAAGGCACTTATAGAATGATCCCATATCATAAATATATCATCTAGAAAGCGGAGCCAAGTCGTAGGTTTAAGGTCATAACTGTTTAAAAAATCAGATTCTAATTTACCCATGAATAGCGATGCGTATGTAGGGGCCATAGAACTAACCCATAGAGCGGTACCTAAAAATTTGTAAATAATTTTCATTATTAAATTTGAAAAATGATTACTTTTAAGTGTCAATTTAAGAAGAGTCCATATTTCCTCCGTTGATAATTTACTACCACATTTTTCATTATCAAGAAAATATTTACAAGCAGCTATCCCATCTTCATGTGGGATATTTGTATACAGTGAAGTTACATCCAAAGTAACAAGTACTGAATCTTTTGAAAGTTTAGGTAAAGATTTTAATTTACGCAAAAAATCAGAGGTATCTTTCACATACGACGGTAATGATTTCATATATGGTTGTAATATAAAGTCAAGGTATTTTGAAATATTTTCTGTAAAACTATTGCATGTCCATCAATATCTGGAGTATAACTCATGCCATCCTAATAAATGTAAAGAGGGTATACCATACAGCCAAGCTAAACGTTACAGACGTATCATTTCAGACAATGATAAATTTCATGAATGTCTAATAAATTTAGAATCTTTTTTCAAGATCAGAAATTATCCTGATAGCAAGCTGAAATCTGCTTTTGCAAAAGTAAAATATTCAACCCAAGAAGAAGCTCTGGAAAATAACCAAAATATAACAGAGCAGCAAAAAATCATACCATTTGTTATCCCATATAATCCGTCTCTTCCCCATCTTGGTCTTATAATAAATAAATACTGGGATCTTTTAATGTTATCAGAAAATGACAGTGTTAAAAATTTACATAATCATAAACCAATCTTAGCATACAGCCGTCCCAAAAATCTTCAAGATTCCCTTACCCATTCAACTCTAAATAAACGGAATATGAACGGTAAAACTAATAAGTGTAATAGAAAAAGATGCACTCACTGTAAAAATATTGAAGAAAATAGTAAATTCACAAGTACAAATACTGGAGAAACATTCGAAATGCATTTTGATGGAAATTGTACTTCTAGTGACGTGATTTATTTAATTACTTGTAAAAAATGTAAAATACAGTATGTCGGCCAAACCCATCAACAGGTATCAAAAAAAGAATGAACAGCCATAAATTTAGATATAAGAAGTAATAATCATCCAATTTTTCTTCTAATGTTGCAATTCATTTCAATGCCGAAGATCACTCACTTGATGACTTTTCCTTTATGCCGATTGATAAACTTCATGATAATATGGGGAGACTTTTGAAAAGAGACATACTGGATACATAAAGTTAGAAACATTTTACCCCGAAGGGTTTGAATGCAAAAGTGCTTTACAAATTTAAAGTTCAGTTTTCAAGTAGATCTAAATATACTTGCAAAACTTTTTACAAACTCGTCAATATTTTTTTTTAGTTACATATCGGCATAAAAAGACTGTTCCATTTTAGTAGTCATTCACTGTATCTAAAAATGTTATTAATTTATTTAAATCTATACAAATACATTATTTATGTCGATGATATAAGTATTTAATTACCTCCCTTTATTCACGCATAATTTTGATTGTTACATTTATATACTACATTATTCGTAATGTATTCATATGATTTTTCATTATTTCATATAACATAAATTGATTTTGAGCATAATACCATATTTTGAATAGATAATAGATAGATCATTTTCATTTTATTTGATAGCTTTATAAAATATACTGATTGATAAATATGTTTCTAAATTATTATCTCCCCTTTTTTACAATTTTCAACATGTGATTAAAGCAAATTTTTTCGAATTCTAAACTTTCACATAAGTAACTGTTGTTTTCATACTTGTTATAATTATTTACTAGCCTAGTTTCTCTATGAAAATATATGTATCTTTTGATCCAGTTATTTTATGTAATTCCTTTCGAAAATTATATATGCTATGTTTTTTTTTTTTAAAAAAAGTATATTTATACATACATATGCACATGTTTTATTGTAATACTTATTGTAATATTATCACGTTCCTTTTACGCGCCAAATGTAACGTCTATTAACGTAGGCGTTTGTTTTGTACGTTTACGTCATTTTTATATATGTATCAACTGAGGAAGCTTAATAAAGCGAAACATGTTTTGATACTTAATTTGTGTTGGTTTTTGATCCAATTATCCTAATTAAAAAACTCCAAATTTCCAAATTCTAATGAAGAATTTTGTCTGACTACTTTTTGATTTTATCAAATCAAAGCCACTTCTTAAGATGCCTATTCATGGGTGTATAATATTGTGATAAGGTATTTAGGAACAGTGACATATACAAACTATAGTAATAGATATAAATTTAAAAAATAATACAGAAGTACTTATATAAAATTTTAAGAATTATATTTTACCATGACGGTAGTTATAAAATGAATTTTGAAACTGAATTAGCATTATTTGTTTAAGCTTGAATGTAGTTATTTTATCTACTTGGGAATCAGTATCTGCTGGGAGCTAACCACTGGAGTCATCTTTTTTTTCCTTTTGCTCAAATAATTGTATATGTAAACATAATTATACATGTATAGCTGAAATGAATTTCAGAGTAACAGAATTGCTGAGTTTCAATTAAGTATAATTAGATAATTATTATTTGTTTTCAGGTTTCATATCCACTTTTACAACACTGATGGGCTGTTATTATGCTTCCTACCTTACCATGAAAGTAAAATCTTTGCTAGAGTTCTACAACTGGTGAAATTTGATTCAAAAACAGCCTCAAAATGGGACTTCTTAGAACCTTTACAAGTATGTAAAACCTGTTTATATATATAAAAATATTTTTGAGTATTTTAAAGTGATTGAACCTACTTCTTTTGTCATGAAATAAAAGTGGATGGAACCTTTTATTGTACTTTTTAGCATTTATTTAGCAATAATTCTCTGAATAAGACACTTTTTTCAGATTATGTACATTATCTAGTTTGAAATTTTTTTTAAATAAAGGATACAAGAGAATGATTGTTTTGTCAGAAAGACTGCCATTGACAATTCAAAAAAGAAAAAAAAAGAAAGAAACTTATTTGATGTAATTGAAATCTTATCAATATTTGTATTAATTTAGTTATGTGATATTTCTAATGATGCGTGTGGGTTTTTCTTATTCAGAAATCTGGGGTACACTTGTCTCGGATGACTTTAGTGAACCACTGTGCCACTGATGTGGCATTCCTCTCATTTGTCTGTGACATGGTTCCGACAGCTGTTAAGGTAAGTGTCTTCTTATTATGATGACTTGTTGTTATAAAAATATTGAACTTGTTCATATTATTAAAGTCATAAAACTGACATATTATTAAAGTCATGTAAGTGACATAAGATCTTGAACATTTTGCAGATTTTAACATAAAGATGAAAGAATGGTAATTATGGTCAGAAGAAACTGTCCAGTCCATAATTTTATCATTGATAGGTTTTGAAATAATTAAGCAAAAATGTGGGCACATTGAGGCAATTAGCAAGATTTGTAGGTCAATGGTCAAGGTCACCCTTAGATAATCAAAAGATCATGATATGAGGATGCTGCATTGATAGTAATGTTCAGTTCATTTCTTTTTTCATTCATTGGCAAAATTTAAAAGAACTTCATTATCTGCCCTTGAATTTAACGAAAAAGTCCAATTCAAGGGCAGATAACTCGAAAATGAGAATGGTGACCCCAATTTTTTTTCAGTTTAAAATGTTTCTGCTTTCAAATTCTAATAACATGCCAAGTTTAAAGAAATTCTATTGAACAGTTTTAATTTGGGTTATATGACTACAGTAAACTTCACTTATAGCGAACACGGTTATAGTGAACTTCCGGTTATAAGGAACAATTTATTTTGGCCCGAATTTTGCCCTTCTTTATTTAATATAAAAATATACGGTTATAGCTAACACGGTTATAAGGAATTGTCCCATATAAGGAACTCATTTCTTAGTCCCAATTCAGTTAAAAGTACAGAAAATTACACTTTTATAGCGAACTCAAAACTATCGGTTTTCAAGATAATCACACATGCTTGCTAATCCATTGAAAACAACAAAGTACGTTTGATTGAAATTAAAAGAAATCTATATCGTTCATAAGTAAAAGTCACCCTTAAAATATAATAGAAGATATTCAATATAAAAGGAAGGAAAAATGGAAAATCTTGTTTATCCTTAATCATGGAAAACGAAAAGCACTGAGTTTAGAAATAAAATATGATATTTTATGAGAAATTGAAAATGAAAGTAAAACTAAAACTGAAATAGCAAAGGATTTTCAAATTCCAAAACGTATCCTTTCGGGTATTGTGTCTATAAAAGAACTAAATGACTATTTTCTCTTAATCAAATGCTCTTTAAAATGGCGGACGATGGTAAACAATCAGTTTGTTATATGTAAATCTGTTCGCTATCAAAACTCTTGATATAAAGAACTAATTCGATATATGCTTATAAGAAACTCCGGATATAAGGAACTGTGTCATTAAAAAAACTGGCAGTTTTGTTAAGAAAGGACCAACTTAACTTGTTCCCATAAATAGTTTTTTCATTGCTTTTTTGGAAGTGAGACATAATAATTTCATAGATTTTAATGAATTTATTTGATAAGCATATTTTACTCAAGGATGAGCATAGTTTATCTTTAAACTTATTTATTTCAGTTGATAAAGTGGTGGTTACATAGAAATGGAATTCTTATAAATATAAAGCATGATATGAACATTGTACATTTTATACTTTGTTATTGTAAATGTTTCGATTATATAATCGATGATTGATCGAAAAGGGTTGTTTGATAATTTTCGATGATCGATTATGATTTTTGTCCGATTAAGAAACCCTATAAGGAACAGATTTTGAATGTCCCAATGAGTTCATTATAAGCGGAGTTAACTGTATATAAAAACTCTGGAAAACGTCTTTTTTGAATGTCTTATTTCTGTTTTATGTTAACAAACAGTTACTATTACTGGAGTTGTAATTTCTAGTAATTCTTTTATGATTGTTTTGTTAGTTTTTTAATTTATTTACATTTAAATATAATTTGTGATATAGGTTTTAACAGAAAAAGGAGAGAAGCCCAAATGTAGAGTATTGTTTTCCTTCTATGCTACGACGGTGATAGGAGTCTTGGACACAGCGTCCGAATCAGAGGTCATTGTATCAACTTTATTACCCCATGTTACAACAGGAATGATGTCAGGTGTCCATGAATACAAGGCTGCGTCGTACATGATCCTAGCACAGCTTCTTCACAAGATGAAACTTAAAGCCGATCTTGTCAAGTCACTGCAACGTGTTCTAGCCAAGGTTTGTTTGAAAACTTAATAATAGCGCATAAAGAATATTTTGGCAAAATGGTGAATTTATTCGATATATAATCATGAACAAAAGTACAATTACAAAAAGATATATAACATACAAAATGACATGCAGTAAACAGGGTTTAATTATTAACACATTGGCGAACTATATCATTGGTAGAAATACTGTTAAAATTGATTGTATTTTCAGCCTGTAGATAAAAATATGCCATTGGCCAAATCAGTTGTTTTCATTGCCTGAGATAAAAATGAAAACACTGGTTGTAAATTAACCTTTACCCTGCTGAGACCGAAAGTGCACCTGCTTGCAGTCTGACCAGACTCTATAGTATACTGTTGTTATCTTAAGTTTATTATTTTGAAACTGAAATCAGATAAACTTTGAAAAGACTATTCCAAATCACGGATTTATATTACAAGGATCGGACACTCCCAGTTAATCCTATATAAATGCTTAAATATCTTGTTGTGCACCCGATAAATGTACATTGATCGATAATTTACCGGCGCTAAGCGTAAATCAGGCTGTCCAGCGTCCCTAAAATTCCTAAAAAATCCTAATTTTTTTCAGTTTGGCTAAAATTCCTAAAAAAATGAAAAAATCAAAGGGAATTCCTAAAAAAGCCCTATTTTTTTCACTTAAATTCCTATTTTTTTTATCTTTTGTGATAAACATGTCGTGAAACAACCATGTTTCAATCACAACCTAAATTCGAACATAGTCAGTGGAGCTGATGTCATGTCTGACTAAATTGCATAAAGTCACAGGTTGTATTTACCTCAACTTATGCAGAAATGCTATACTTGATTGTCAGGTGTTATCAAAAAATTAATAAGAAACTGTTTGTTTTAAATGGAACAATGAAAATTGTCCGACTTTGACTATATCAAAATAGTCACCTGATTAAAATTGTGATAAAAAAATTTCCAAGGAAGTTACAATGTACATTTTTATTGGCCACAGAGTTTTACCATTTACCTCAGTCAAAGGTGTATTTAAAGGAACTATTTACATGATTAACAACTAATTTTCATCAAACTTTATATAGGGGTCCTTATTAATAAAATCTTAATTTGTAATCAAGTTATTTTCAAGTGATGACTAGAACAGATCTTTTGTAAGTGATACCAGACAAGTTTTCATATTTGCTAATTATAAGGTGGGCAAGGTAAACTGGCAGTAAAATGATTGGATGCTTTTACCACTTTGCTACCCAATTAGCGTACTAAGAAGTGACACCTTCAGCTGCCCTTTTTGTACACACTAACATGTACTGAACATATGTTATAACATATAGTGCAAGTTTTTTAAAATCTGAAAAAATTGTTGAAAATCATTGAAAACACTGACACTGTTGTAAAATTTTCTACAATTTACTTGAACAAATTCATCATAGTGTATACCCTGCTGTTTGAATTTAAGTTTAAACATTCCTGGGAATGACTTGAGTAGGTCATATCGTTTTTATTGTTTTTTTAAGAAAGATCAAGACTTGTTGAAAATGTACCAACCTTAAAATGAATAAATATTGATAAGAAATGCATTTATAGCTAAAATAAATCTGAAGCATAATTTCCCCTTCCATTTATTATTGGCTTATCATAGCTTAACTAATTAAATATTGGTTGTTCCGGGATACTTATAACTTTGAAAATGTTTTCATTCTAGTTATGTGTTAATGTAGTTTTTCAGCTCTTTTTAAAGGCAGTTGACCAGTGAATCCATTTCTTCACTATGGAACACTGGTTACACCTGTGCTATCACCGAACTAGAGCATTATTTGTGAGTTACTTTTGTGTCAAATATGTAAAGTTGAGCCCATATCATGGTCTTTTGAGGCCATAATTTAGTTATAAAATTCCAAATTTTAGCCCTAAAATTTCCTTTATTTACCCTAAAATTCCTAATTATAGCCCTAAAATTTCTTTAAAATTGCCCTAAAATTTGCCCTAATTTTTTGTTAGAAGGTGCTGGACAGCCTGGTAAATGCCCGTTCACAACGGATACCTACTTTACTAAATACCATACAGCTTTTACATTCATTATCCTATTTTAAAAATTTAAAGTTTATTTTGAAGAAAAATACTGATTTAATTCAAATATCTAATTTTTTTTTTAAAGGTACAGTTTATCTGTCCGCAACGACGATTAAAAATTTAACTTGACGAAATCCGCGGTAAATTTACATTTTTAGCTCACCTGTCACAAAGTGACAGGGTGAGCTTTTGTGATCGCTTTTCGTCCGTCCGTCCGTCCGTCGTCCGTCTGTCGTCCGTCCGTAAACTTTTACTTAAAATGACATCTCCTCATAAACCACTAAGCCAATTTCATCCAAACTTCACAGGAATGTTTCTTTGGTGGTCACCTTTAAAAATTGTTCAAAGAATTTAATTCCATGCAGAACTCTGGTTGCCATGGCAACCGAAAGAAAAAACTTTAAATATCTTCTTTTAAAAAACCCTAAGAGCTAGACCTTAGATATTTGGCATGAAACATCTTCTAGTGAGTGTCTACCAAGTTTGTTCAAATAAAATCCCTGGGGTCAAAATTGGCCCGCCCCGGGGGGTCATTGATTTTCCCTATATGCATATAGTAAAAACTTAAAAAAATCTTCTTTTAAAGAAACCAAAGAGAAAGAGCCTAGATATTCAGGCATGAAACATGTTCTAGTGAGTGTCTACCAAGTTTGTTCAAATAAAAGCCCTGGGCGTCAAAATTTGGCCCCGCCCCATGGGGTCATTGATTTCCCTATATGCATATAGTAAAACTTAAAAAATCTTCTTTTTAAAGAACTCAAAGAGCTAGAGCTAAGATATTTAGCATGAAACATGTTCTAGTGGGTGTCTACCAAGTTTGTTCAAATAAAAGCCCTGGGGTCAAAAATTGGCTCCGCCCCGGGGGTCATTGATTTTCCTTATATATGTATAGCAAAAACTTAAAAAATCTTCTTTGAAAAAAAACCAAATAGCTAGAGTTTAGATATTAAGCATGAAACATGTTCTAGTGAGTGTCTACAAAATTTGTTCAAATAAAAGCCCTGGGGTCAAAATTGGCCCCGCCCCCATGGGGTCATTGATTTTCCCTATATGCATATAGTAAAAACTTAAAAAATCTTCTTTTAAAGAACTCAAAGAGCTAGAGCTAAGATATTTAGCATGAAACATGTTCTAGTGGGTGTCTACCAAGTTTGTTCAAATAAAAGCCCTGGAGTCAAAATTGGCTCCGCCCGGGGGTCATTGATTTTCCTTATATATGTATAGCAAAATCTTTTACAAAATCTTCTTTGAAAAAAAACCAAATAGCTAGAGTTTAGATATTAAGCATGAAACATGTTCTAGTGAGTGTTTACAAAGTTTGTTCAAATAAAAGCCCTGGGGTCAAAAATTGGCCCTGCCCCTGGGGGTCATTGATTTTCCTTATATGTGTAAAGCAAAAACTTAAAAATCTTCTTTGAAAAAACCCAAATAGCTAGAGTTAAGATATTCAGCATGAAACATCTTCTAGTATGTGTCTACAAAGTTTGTTCAAATAAAAGCCCAGGGGTCAAAAACTGGCCCCGCCCCAGGGGTATCATTGTTTTTAATTATATGTGTATAGTAAAAAACTTAAAATAACTTCTTTTAAAAAACCCAGTGAGCTAGAGCTTAGATGTTTAGCATGAAACATCTTCTTATGGGTGTCTACAAAGTTTGTTCAAAAAAAGCCCTCGGGTGAAAATTGGCCCTGCTGGAGGGGGGTGGGAGATCATTGTTTTTCATTATGTGTGTAGTAAAAACTTAACAAACTAAACATTGTGAAACATCTTCTAATGAGTGTCTTTCAAGTTTGTTCAAATAAAAGCCCTGGGGTTTAAACTGGCCCCGATCCGGGGGCCTTGATACAGGTGAGCGACCTCAGGGCCATCATGGCCCTCTTGTTTATATAACAAGCAGCTATTTGAAATTCATTATTACGGTACCATAATAATTTCAATTTCAAAATAAAAAAGAAGCCGATGTTAGTTATTCATAGATGATCAAAGATGCAATATTTAAGATTTATTGGGTTATGTAGTTAAATTTAATGCACAATTGTTTTATGGGTAATGTATTGCGGCCTTTACAATTCGCTCAGCACATGAAGAAAATTTATTCATTTTTTTAGTACAAAATATTGCCGAGATTGTCAATATTGCCATGTTCATAGAATATTTAAATTTCATTCATCATTTATATCATTATTTAAAACTTTAGTAAATCTGTTTTCAAATGTCGATGCAATGAAGTAGACAATCATCGTAACAGTAAAGTACTCTCGTGTGTCTGTCTCGATTCCCGTCTTTTTAATGTCACTCGTATATTTTAATCCGTATATTTTAATTTTTTTTTTTTTTATTTGAATGCCTGTAGAAAGATATATCTAGAGTCAGTATTTTGCGAAATAAAGTAACTTTTGATTATTTTTTACACATCGCTTAAATTTCTTTCAAGTTTAATTACTTTTGAAGGGGGGTAATTACCAGGTAACAAGCGATAATTGAAAACGTTTATTTTCAAACATTCATAACCAGGTTACATGTGATAATTGCAACACTCAATCTTCAAAAACAAATAGAATTTGAATGTATATTTTGTATGTGCTCGGTCTTAACTACAGTCCATGGTATGTGTGATAAGAAAATGATTCTGAAGAGGATATATATAAATACAATGTAAATCTATTTTTATGCCCCCGCCATGTAATGGCCGGGGCATATAGTGTTACCCTGTTCCGTCCTTCCGTCATTCTGTCATTCCGTCATCATCAGTTTCCGTTCATTATCTCCCCAACGGTACAACACATTCAACTCAAACTTGACATATGGATATGTCATGATAAAATACAGGTCAAGTTCAAATTTGGTCATGGTTCGATGATTTTTGGCAGAGTTATGCCCCTTTTACTTTGAAAATAATATGAAATTTTCAGTTTCCGTTCATTATCTCCCCAAAGGTACAACACATTCAACTCAAACTTGACATATGGATATGTCAAAGAAATGCGCAGGTCAAGTTTAAATTTGGTCATGGTTCAATGATTTTTGGCAGAGTTATGCACCTTTCACTTTGAAAATAATATGAAATTTTCAGTTTCTGTTTATTATCTCCCCACCGGTACAACACATTCAACTCAAATTTGACATATGGATATGTTTTTGGAATGCCCAGGCCAAGTTCGAATTTGGTCATGGTTCAATGATTTTGGCAGAGTAAAGCCCCTTTCACTTTGAAAATAATATGAAATTTACAGTTTCTGTTCATTATTCTACCCAACAGTGTTACATATTCAACTCAAATTTGACATATGGATATGTCAAAGGATGGGCAGGTCAAGTTGGAATTTGGTCATGGTTCGATGATTTTTTGGCAGAGTTATGTCCCTTTCACTTTGAAAATAATATAGATACATCTTAGGAATAAGCAGTTTAAGTTTGAATTTGGTCGTGGTTCAATGATTTTGGACAAATTTATCTTTCTTGAATGTTGGAAAAATTTTGAACACTCATACTTTTGTGGAAATGTATGTAGCCATTATTTTGGCTACAAATATGAAATATGCTATTTTCAAAAGGTTAAGACTGAATAATTTCAGTGCCTTGAACATTGTATGGAAATGGTTTGTGTTAACATTGAAAAGTTTTAAGGGCTTTGAACTTAAAATGAAAAAAATAATTTGTGCAAACAAATTTGGAACTAAATATTATAACATCTGAAATTTTGGCTGCATGCGGGGCATCTGTGGCATGATGACACATTTCTAGTCTTTATTAACATTTATAAATGAAAATGAAAATAAACAACTTAATTTGTATAGTCCTTTCTTTGAAAAATAATGGAAATAAACATATGACAAATAAATCATTTAATCAATTGTGAAAAAATCTGTTTCAAAATAAAAAATAATATAAAACAGCTGTTCTGTATGCCAATAAAAATTTCTTCTTTGCCTATCTAATGAATTCATCTATATATGAACGCTTGTCTAGAATGATATGAAAATATATTTCATACACTAATTAGTAGAATATTTACTATATTTATACTAATATACAGGTAATCAAATAAAAAATGTACAAATCATTTTGAAATAATTCACAGAAATAAAGACACATTTCAAACATGAATTTCTTTAAAAGTATTTTAGCAATCAAGAAACATTTTTTTGCAATGCTACCATTTAACCATATAAATCTTAATCTGAATCGCGGTAATAATTTATGCTTGAAGTAAAAGGGCGTCAAAATGTAGAGAGTATGCCTAAACAATAGGCGAATATTTTTTAAATTAGGTACTTTTTAACTAAGCGTTGCAGCGTTCTATCGGCATATTTTCATATATTAATACTTTAGCGACACAAAATAATACTGTATCAATACATTCATATGTGTATAATTTTTCACAAAGCTGCAATAACACCACATACTCTTGTGAAAATCTGTCATATTTCGCACTCCGCGCGTTCCGCCATCTCATTCTGTCCACCTTTATCCGATTCCGCGAATGCGCGCGACGGGACTTTAAGCTAAACGAAAGTGTCCGATCCTTGTTATTTAAATCCGTGTCCAAATTCAAAGCAGGGCAATTCCAATACTCAAATACTGCATGTTAAGGGTTTAGAGATTAAAGTTTAAGAAGAATTTCTGTAAACTGTCAGCTCTGTCATAAATATTGACAATTTTTAGTTTTGGATACACTTTGTGATAACAGAATTTTTTATTTTTAGAGTATGATTCAAGACTTGCTAGGGGAAGCAATGTCCTGCATGCTTCTGATGTTTCAAACACAAGATGTCAACAATTATGGTATCACTAAAAAGTAAGTCTCTATTTATTTTTGTAAATTTTGTTTATTCCATTCATATGCAATGAAAATGTAGCTGAATATTAGTATTTTGTTTGCCACATGGCATCATTTTGAAACTTGAACTTATTATTGTTTTCTACTTGGTAATATCTGCCATTTGTATATGCATTTTAAAGTTCATTTTTCTTGTTAATTTGAATTATTTTTTATGCCACCGCAGCATCTGCGATGCGGTGGCATATAGCGATTCACCTGTGTGTGTGTGTGTGTGTGTGTTTGTTTGTTTGTGTGTGTGTGTGTTATATAGATTATATAGTGAACTTAAAAGATCTTCTTGTGAAAAACCACTTGTCCAATTTCAACCAAACTTGGCAGGATTGATCCTTGGGTGAAGGGCTCCCAAAGTTGTTCAAAGAATTTCATTCCATGCAGAAATCTGGTTGCCATGGCAACCAAAAGGAATTATAAGAATAAATTAAAAAAATCTTCTTGTAAAGACCCAGAAGGCCTAGAGCTTAGATATTTTGCATTAAGGCATTGTCTGGTAGACCTCTACCAAGATTGTTCAAATTATAGCCCTGGGGTCAAAAATCGGCACCGCCCCGGGGTCAA